TCTATTAATTAAAGTATGAATCATACATGTACTTATTAAAAATGAAGTAATCAGAATTTAAAACTAAAATACTAACTCTCATACCGTGTAAATAATAAAATTAATTATTCTAAATTAATGTAAACTTGTCAATCTAATATTTAGATCATAACAAAGTTTACTTAAAAAAAATATGATAATTGTTATAGAAATTACTAATTCATAATCCTAATTTCTATATTTTTAATTACAAGATATAAATACACAATCAATTTAGTTATCAAATTGTTTAAGCTCTAAGGTTTTGGAAAGTTGGCTTTTTCCTCTTTCAATTCATTTATTTCTTTTTTGTATCTTGGATTAGCCGAGTGATAACGCTAATTTAGTAAAATTTTAGAATATGTTTTGAAATTTATTTAGTTAAGAGAGTACGAAAATTGTATTTAAAATAGTAAAAAGTTTAGGCTTATATAATATTACAGGTAGAACATGAATGAATTTGGATAATTTATTTATTCGATCTCCTCTATATTAAGCAGAAAGAGAAAGTGAGATAAATTTATAGATAACGAGTAAACACTTTTTTATGTTACAATTACTTGCCTAATACTGCTTAGAAAAGATGAATCCAAAATATAAATGTTAATTGGACAATTGCCTTAATACGTGGCACCTTCTAATTTGTTCGAGTTTTAATTGAATGCCATATGCCATGAGAAATTTTATGTTATATTAAAAAATTTAACGTTACTAATCCACAAATAACTTTTTATAGCGCTTTGAATTGGTCTAAGGTTAAGAAAAAATTGAATTCCTAATTCCCTAAGTCCCTAAACTAAAAAACTTATTCTCACCAGAGCTTAGTCACTGGTTATTCGCGCATCATATTGAGCACATTTCAAATTATGGCTGGTGGAGTAGTAGCATTGGCAATGAGTTGAGGAAATTATGAGAAGGCTTAGCTAAATCCATCAAGACGCATGTACTAATCAGTCAAGACAACACTCAACATTATTTGTAGATAATAGTGATTTTTAGCAACATATTTGATGCGAAATTTAAGATCAACTAACGTGATAAAAAAACTCCATATATATTATAGTGTCATATTTTTTAAACTCTCAACAAATCCTCCCTACTTGACCTACATTCAACATATGAATGTCAACTAAAGTAATTGGGATGGTGATTTGAATTGATTAAATGCCACAAGATGGAACCTTGATAAGTTAAATTAATTCAAGATAGATCGATAATAAGTTGAATCAATTCATACTCAACAAGAAGGTTAATGAAAATCTTACTAGTTGAAAACTAAAACTTTATAATTTTATTATTCTCAAATTTGAATTATTACAAGTAGGAGTTAATGACGTATTTATAGTATCTACTATGTAAATAATAAGGAAAATAATCTTATAATTTAATGAAAAAATTATATAAAAAATTAAATTTAGAATATAATATAAAACTAATAAAATTAAGAGAATTACAAATAAAATAGGATAGATATGATCTCCCATTGTAGAAATTATTTTAAATAAGAAAGATTTTAATTGATTGTGACTAATTTAGGGGAAAGAATTTAAATATATTTTTATTTTTTGTAAGATTTGGCATTTATAGAGTTTTTTTTTTCTTTTCTCAGACAAACTTGAGATTTAGGATCAAATTTCTCCTTAAGTGATTCTCCCTCTTAAAAATAAAGATTTTCTGTAAGATTAAGAAAGAAAATCACCTGAGAGTTTTCCATTTCCTTGCTCACATCAATATTTTTTATGGAAAAAAAAAAAAAAAAAATTCCATCCTCAAGCAAAGTGTGAAAAATAATAGGACTCCTCGTAAAGGATTACAGTTTACCTAGACAAGCTCACCCGATAACAAATCTCCACTCATTGCTCTCATTGTTGTAACCATATGCGTGAGGCTCCTCCTTTGCAACACACGAGTGAAGGCTAGACTCAACGACTTAACAATGATTTTTTACCTGATCAGGATTAGGATGGTGGCATTGTAGACAGATTTAGCGGGGCCAACGTTGGTGACCATTTGATGAAAAATGGTAACTTGGGGGGCTTGACTAGGTTTGGTAGCAGAATTGAAATGTAGATTAGTTGAGAGCATCGTGGCCTCTATCAGGGGCAATTTTTGAGAAATTTATTGTCTTTATATTAGTAAATTTGTCAAAAGTAGATCATCTGTAGTCTTCATGGCATAAACATTGGATGTAGGATAACTGATCCATTTCGTAGATTAAATCAACTCTTCTTGGGTTGATGTCGTAAGCTAGTTCACCCAACCATTCAAACTCCTTATGGTATTCGAGTAATAAGTCGAATTGCTTTATCCTAGACAGGACTTCATCAAAGTTTTCATTCTTAGTTGGGCTGAATCGGGCCCAAAGCTCCTTTTCAAACACGACCAAGTAATTTCTCCTCCTTTTTCTCTATTTGCACGCCTCAACCACTACCACCACTAAATTGCGTCTCATTCGAGGTGGTAGGTAGCCAGGGTCACCTTATGGGCATCGATGGTGTCTTGGCACTCAAAAATTTGTTCAACTCTATTAAACCACTTAATGGGATCGACGTGGGCGTAAATCGGGAATTCGAGCTTGGACAGCTTCCAGTAGAACGCGTGTCGGCTGCATCCATTCTTTCCACTCCTCTCTCCCTGTTCAGTTGTATTTGACTAAGCCAGCTAAGGGAGTTGCTGATGGGGCTTTCTCTGTTGGACACTACAGTGTCTGTCAATCACTTGAGGGTCTCCTCAGTCTGGTAAAATTTGATTATCATTTCGACCTCCACTATGTTAAGTTTAGCCCATTAAAAGATAAAGATAAAAGATGCAGAAATATACAAGAAGATAAACTTCAGATTTCTGAAAGATTTTTAACGTGAGGATGAAGATAAACATACAGGATTTTAACGAAAAGATAAAGTGAGACCGTTTGATTTTTGAAAGATTTTTAAGCTGAGAAATTGATCTAAATTGCTACTCTCACCTATAAAAGGAGAGGAGTATAGTTGGAATAAACACAAGCTGAGAGGTGAAGAAATCGAAAACAAGAAAGAATGTTTGTACAGGAGGCCATAAGAGAGAGAGAAAAAAATAAGGAAGAAGAAGAGAAAAGGAAAGAGTTGTGTATATATACACACCAGAGAAGCGACGACAACAAAAGTTGGGTGCTTCTTTTCTCTCCCATCAGTGACATCATTACTGACACCATCGATTTCGTTATTTTTCTATGAAAGTGTAATTTAACTTTACTTACATCTGTCCTTTTTAAGTTCTGCGTAAGAAAATGTTCTGCTTCTTCTCGTTCTTGATTTAATTTTTAGTGAGTTATCTTCTAATTATTTTCGTTTACAGCAGATTTGATTCGGAATTTAATTTTCGATGTAAAAAATTTTTCATGTAAAATTTTGTACCTATTTTATTTCAAAATTATTATTTACTTATTATTTTTTTCGATTATCGATTAATTTAATATGACATTATTATTAGTTTCTGTGAATTAATTTCTAAGTATCTTAATTTATATAATTAATATTTTTTGTTCGGGACCTAATACATTCAGCTCGTATTATCTTAGAGACTGTTCAGAGGTTAAACTCGAGGTTCTCGATTCTTTCCTTGTTGGACACTATTGCTATCAGCTTTGATACTAATTGATAGATCCTAAGTTAGAAGCAAGAAACTGAATTAATGTTTTCTACTTTGAGTGAAAAATAACCATAGGTTTGAATGCAAATTTTGACTTGTTTCATTCTTTAAACTTGCTGCCTTTATATATAAAAACGTCTACCTGCTGCTTCTTACTCCTAAGGTAATTGAAAAGAAAATGGGATAACGAGATGATCAAGAGTATGGGATACATTTATTGACTAATTCCACAACAATTCTAGGTTCATGTTTTCCTTAATCATAGTACTTTGGATTCCTTGTTGGTTGTTGTTGAGATCTTCGAAGTTTAACACACCACATGGTCCTTTTCTATTTCAACCAAATTTTTTCATGTAATTATACATACATACATGTAGTATACATTTGTGTATAATGAATTTAGAAAAATAAAAATTTTAAATGATATGAAGGGCTATAAATTAACTAACAATGCTCTATGTTTCCTTTACTATAAACTTGAACATCAACTAACTGATGGCATTAAACATATTGGATCTTAGAGGAACTAGTTCCCATGCTTTGCACGATCCACATAATAAGTTCTAAGAGTTTCCATGTCGTGAACAGAGGGAAAGCCATGTACTTTATTGGAAATACATATTGTTGTATGAATCTAATATGGAGTACAAAATTATGAAATAAATAACCCCTATAATCGAGATGATTTCTCTTCTCTCTCCCTGACCTCTAAAGACGATGAGGATGAGCTCCAATTTGCTATCTACCAAGCCTTTTATCTCAAAGTCCATTCTTGCAAGTCTATCTAAAAGCTCTTCAAAGTCCAAATCTGACTATAAAATAAAGATCCATTAAGGAAGTGGATATGGATCTAAATGGGGAGGTAGGTACCCTTGATATGTGTTAAATTAATGATTTAAAATTATGAAAATTATAAATTATTGGCTGAAAAAAATTATAAATAGGTGATTATAAAAAAAATTAAAATAAAATAACAAAATTTAAATAGTGATTAAATAAAAGAAATGAGCAGTGTAACATCTACTCCTAAATAAATAAAAAAATGTTAAAAATAAATAAAATTAGAAATTGAATTTAAATGAAAGAGGTTTTAAAACTTTTGGAGGTTTATTTAATTTTAATGACTTAAATAAAAACAAGTGAGAAGGGGGTGAGAGTATAAATAAGTGGAAGTGGAAGGGGGCAAAAAAAAAAAGAACGGAGGGTCTTGATCAAACCGTCTGAGAAGATCAAATGGGTGAGATTTTATGAAAAATGAACGATTCAGATCAAGCTAGTGAGATCCACGACTGGAGGAATGCGTATAAAAAAGAAAAGTTTAGGGTTTTTCTTCATTTTAGGTGAGTAGCTAAAAAAGAGAAGGGGAGAGGAAAGGGAGCCAATCGGGTGAGAGAGAAGGGAGAAGGTTGGTCGAGTAAGGGAGCCAAGAGGAAGAAAGAAAGAGAGGAAAAGAAAAGGGAAGCCGAAGAAGAAGAAAGGAAAGGAGAAAAAAAGGAATAGCCGAGCAGGACAGGGAAGGGGGAGCCGAGAACGGTCGCCGCAAGGGAATAAAAAGAAAGAAGAGAGAGGCGGAGGGAAGAGGGTAGTGGAAGTGAGCTGAAAGAAAGAAGGAGGAAGAGGAATCAGCCCGAGACGCCATGTGACGGTAGAGACCGACGCGAACAAGGTAAAAAGGTTTCGTTTTTTGTCTTTTCTTTCCCTGTTTTCCTTCAATCTTTTTCTATTCTACACTAACTGATTTTTAGGCTTGAAAATCATCATTCCAATCCCAAACAAGTAAGGGAACCACGGAGTGGCTGAGAGGCAACCATCCGAAGCCGAACCGAGGCCGAATCGCATCACACTAGGAAGGTAAAATGTTTTTGGTGTGTTTTGGTTGGTTGTTGAGTGATGGGGGGCAGTGGTCGGTGTCGGGTTGGTCGTGCGAGCTCAAGCTAGCCACCTACCCGCTTGAAAACTAAGAAGCCTTCCTCGGGTGTGGGAAATCGACCCACCATTTAAAGCCGAGGGGCCTTCCTCGGGAATGGAGACCCGATTCAACCATTCAAAAATTCGATTCACCACTCAGAAAGTTAAAAAGTCTTTCTCGGGTATGAAAATTTGTCAACCAAATGGGAAGCTAAAAGGTCTTCCTCGGGTACAGAACCCGATGTTCTAGGTTTGGGAATAGGGACCGTAAGGGGGCAGATTGCTCACCCTTATGCGGTGAGCCGGGTAGTCCATCGGATTGTCATTGAAACCCATGATTTTGATTAAATTAGTTTCTGTTTAGTATTTAAATTATATTAATTAATTTGTGTCGTGCGTGTACAGGAAATTAGGACGTTCAGGTAGATCTGGGAAGATTGTTGCTTAGAAGTGTAAGTATTTCCAATTTTGAACCTAGATTAGAAGTTTTGAAATTTTGCATATATTTTACTAATTTTGTGTATTTTAAAATTAAAATGGATATTGACCCAGATTTTGATGAAAACAGAACACGAACCTATGATAAGTAAACCCTAAACTATGAGAATTTATGAGGAGGTAGAACCAGAAAATAAATCCAAAGACCAAGGAATACTTGGACTGTGATGAGAAATGAATTTAAACCTAAAAGAAATTCTTAATTAAGTGGAAGGTTAAAAAAGAAAACAAAATAATATAAGAAAATTAAAAAAAAGGGAATAATTATGATTGTGGAACTATCAATTTAAATAAAATTTAAGAGAAAAATATAATATAAGGAAAGCAAATAAGGAATTGGAAACGAGAGGATGTGAGTAATTAGGGTATGGGCCCTAAATGCCCTTTTCGTTTAGTCTAAATCGATGAGGGGAGTATGTGTGTGTGACTGAAGTTCAGGGGGCATGGTGAACCTGCACATGAATAGAGTTTGAAACCTAATCTAGACATGAATAAATGTTTGTGAGTACAGGTTACCTAACAAACGTACCTGTTGTGGCCATTGTGAGGTTTGTGTGTGTGTGTTATTTGTGCGATGGAAAAAGTCCATTTCGCCTCTCCTCGATGACAACATAAACAACATCGCGCGATGAAAACTTTAGAAATGATATTTTGAGTGTATATATGATCTTTCATATGTATGTGGTTATGTTTTGAGATTATGATTAATATTCGAGAGTATATATGTGTTCTTTCAAAAGTATGTGGATATATGTTGGAGAATTGTAAATGATATTTGAGAGAAATTCAGAAATCTGATAAAAAACATGTGAAATAGTGAAAATAATAAATAAATTTTGTATTGAAACATTACTATTGCATTTTTCTCCTGTTGTGTGTTTTGCATGAAATCTTTTCTGAGTTGAAAGAATGGAAATACTTATTGAGTTGATGAAACTCATTAAATTTCATCATGATATTTTTTTAGATGAGAAAGAAGAGTCAGAACCGCTGTCAGACGAGTAGAACCTGTAAAAGGATTTATGATTATGTACATTTTGTTCATATTTAAAAAATTTTTGTTTTACTTTGTTAAACTCTAAATTTTGACATCATCTTCTGTATATATTTATATGAGATGCTAGATTGTATGATACTTTTTGAGTTATGCATAATGTATGTTTTGTAGGCCTATTGTATAAGAATGACATGAGTAAGAATTGCGCATCATATCTAATGTGGAGTGTTATAAGTAGTTACAAAAAAGAAAATTAATAGATGATTTTTACTACCTATACATAGATTATGTATTGTTGTGTAACTTCATTCTATTATGATTAAATAAAAATTTTATATATCTTTTTCTCAATATATATCTCTAGTTATAAGAGGTTTTATATTTTTGCATCAGTAATAATATATTTATTTATCTTGCATATTGGTTCTTCAGGGATACGAAGATGAAGGACCATAATTCTCCATTCAATATCAAACACTTAGAGAAAAGCTGATTTTTCTATCCCCAAGACAGGGTTTATATTTGTGTAATCAGATCATACAAAAGACGCAAACCCCAAATAACTAAACAACAACTGATTCAATTCTCAGAAGTCGATGTAGAGCAAACAGGAGAGAGAGAAAGGAAGAGAGATCAAAATTTTGAGAAAGAATGATAAGATAATATTCTCTGAGATTCCAAAGACAATGGAAATTTGAAATTACACCCTTCGTCTCCAACTCACAGCGGATTCTCACAAACCCAATACCACTTCAGAGAAAGAAAATGAGAAACGTAATTAGCTTGTGCTAATTGAAGAGGCAGAAACGAAGTTGTCTTATGGGAATTGAAGAAAGAAACTTCTGACATTAGGAAATACGTAGTTCTTTGGAAGCTTCGAAGAAGAAGAAAGTTGCCGAGAAAAAAAAAAAAAGAATTAAGAGAGGAAATTTATTATAAATCAAATTATACACTTTCTAACGTGTTACCAACAAAAATTGAACTTAAATGGTCAAAAATAAAAACAAAATATTTTGTAAAAATTCCACACATACTGTTAAAAAAAAAATAATAATAATAAAAAATCAAATGTTAGTGAAGAAGTAGATAAATGAAGATTCAAGTGAATCATCAAGTTAGGATTCCTTGTTTTCTTCTTGAATTTTGATACAATTACATTATTTTTCTATAAGGACTAAAGAGAGTTACTGCCAAGTTACTGCTATGGGACTTCTAACACTATATTTCCCAAACGCCCAGATCAAATCTCCAAAAGATGGATTTACCGACCCTGCCTTTTTACCCAACCCAGTAAATGTGACCCTGTAACTCATTTCATCACCCAACTTGTTAAACCTCAAAATATTAGGCTCTACTTTCACCATTACCCCACTGGGTGAATTCACTTGAACTTTATAAACACTCGGCGCCCCACCAACATTTGTGAGAGTCCTTTTGAAGGTGATGGTAGAATTTGAAGCACCCAGTTGGAAATTTACTGCAAAAGAAGGGTAATTTAGATCACCAGGGTGGAGATTTGAAGCAGGTTTAGGACAAGTGAAAGAAGTGGAGTATCCTAACATATTTCCTATTTGTGTGGAATTGTAATGAAGGCTACACAAATAGATTAGATAATCTTGTGGGGTGATATCATAAATCAGGCCTGGATCAGATGCTTTTTCCGGGTCAACATGACCCGACCCGAGAGCAAAAGGTGTGGCGGCTGAATCAGAGCTGGTCAAGCTAATGTCTGCAATTGGTAAGTTCTTGTTGTTGAGTGTATAAGCTGTTGTCATGAGAGCTGATTTGATTGCAGCAGGAGACCAGTTTGGATGAATTGATTTGAGTAGAGCAGCTAGACCACTTACATGAGGACAAGACATGGAAGTGCCTGAAATTATATTGAATAAAACACTTCGTTTATCAGTTTTGAGTAAAGATGGACTGGTTTTTGGTGGCCAAGCTGCTAAGATGTTCATGCCTGGTGCAGTAACATCTGGTTTAATCACATCTGGTCCGTCAGAACTAGGACCTCTTGATGAAAAAGCAGTCACCATTGGTGCAGGATTGTTAAAGCTAGTTCCTTTAAAAGTAATGGAAGCTGTTGGGTTCTTAGCAGATTTCAAGTAGTTTCTAATTGTTTCACCTGCTGAAGCTCCTAAAGATGTAGCTGGTAAAATATGGGGATCTGCAAAAAGTTCTTCCCCTTGATTTTCTGTGTTTACTAATAACATTCCGGCTCCACCTGCTAATCTCACTTGCTCTCCTTTCTGGGTTCTACCATTTCCTCCTCGAAGACAAACCACCATTTTTCTTCTCGCAAGTTTCTTATTCAGAGAGCCAGGAAAGCAGAAGGGAGTTTCAGTGTCATCAAACCCAGCAGTTTTATTAAACACAAGTGCTAATTCTCTTGTTGATTTTGACTTTCCAGTATATAAAGAAGAACCTTCTAACGTTTCTCCATTACCGAGTTTTACAATCGTTGGGAAGCTTCTGTCTGTGTAGCTTGCAGCCACTGTCATAATCCATGGTGCAATATTACTCACGCTTGATTTTTCGGGGCCTGAGTTACCAGCAGAACATGAAACAAAAATACCCTTCTGGGTCGCTCTGAAAGCAGCAATGGCAATTGGGTCTGAGTCATAAGGCTTTGAGGACCCTCCTAAGGAAAGAGACAACACGTCAACTCCATCAACAATAGCTTCATCAATGGCGGCAAGTATGTCAGAACTCGCACACCCAAATTCCCAACACACTTTATAAACAGCAATTCTAGAAGAAAACCTCATTCCAGCTGCAGACCCATTAGCCAAACCATAAAAGCTAGCCGCTGATACAAGATTCCCAGCTGCAGTCGACGCTGTATGAGTTCCATGGCCTTGAGCATCTCGAGGAGAACGATAATCACTTTTCTCATTTATACTCCCGGCGACAGACTCGTAGCCTTGGAAATAAGCTTTTGCGCCGATGAGTTTGTGATTACAATTCGACGGGGAGAAGTTGGTACCGGTCTGACACGTGCCTTTCCATCTCGCCGGGATCGGAGACAATCCGGTGTCTTGGAAACTAACATGTTCCGGCCAAATTCCGGTGTCTGCAACTCCGATGATCACGTCGGAGCCCATACTCTGTCTTGCCCATAAGCCTGTGCTGAGTTCTAGGCCGAGGAACTGAGGAGAATGAGTGGTGTGGAGGGATAACATTTCGTCGGGAAATGCAGAGAGAAAACCATCAACTTTCTTTAATGCTGCGAGTTGTCTTGTTGAGAGCTTTGCTGCAAAACCAGATATGGCGGTCTGGTAGACGTAGAGAAGTTGAGGGTTCGATAGTTCATGATCCTTGTCGTCTTCTCCTTGTTTTGAGACTTCAGAAATGGAATCAAGAATCGTTTCATACCAATTTTTGATACGTTGATATGGAGCTTGATTATCCAAGGCTGTAATCTTTGTCTTCTCCATTAACTTTGCCTGGTCCATGTGAATCACATACGTTTGTTTGTCAACGGAAGCCATTGAAGCAATTGCCATGAAGGCAAACGACACTAATGCTCTGGTAAGCATCATGGTGGAGAGTTTATATATATATATATATATAGCTCTCCTCTTAGCTAAACGGAAGAGAATATGAAAAAAGAGGTGGCTGAGAAGGTGTTTATATAGACGAACAGAGAGTGGAATTGTAATGGGGTTGTTACTGAAGCATTTTCAGCATATAATTTCATTTTTTGTTAAGTGCAGCAACTCGGTTGAAGAAAAAGTAGTGAGGAAGAAAGCATCATGAACTTGCTTTACCAAGAAAAAGAAAGCATCATGAACTCCCATTAACTTGTATGAATGATACATAGACAGAGTTGGATGAGGGACCAGAAATTTTCCAAATTTGAAATATATATATACATTCAGTATGATTACTTTCATCTATCTACCCAATATAGATAAATAATGCTAAACGTTGTTATATTATTAATCTTCTTTTTTAGAAATATTTAAAATAATAAGAGATTTTTATTAAAAAATAATATACATTTTTTCATAATTCTGTATGATTTATACACCACTAACAAAAACAACTAACATTTTAATAAAAAGACAATATAATCAACGTCCTAGAAACAACACAAATAATGCTAACATACTACTATATCATGATATTATATACATATGTCATGATTACTTTGATCTATCAAGCCAAAGTACATAAATAATGTAATGCCCAAATTTAATTTAATAAAAATTAAATTAATTTATAATTGTATTTTTTTATTTTTTATTTTAATTTAGTGTAAAAATGAAGGAAATTTGATGGAGTATGAAATTGGAAACAATTTTGAGAAAAATGAGTGAAAATTTGGGTTATGAGTATATTTTTAGAAAAAAAAATCAAAATTTGGGGATCAAAATATAATTTAAAAAAGTTGTGTTACGTAGGATGCCCGGTCAGCAACCCCGACGAACCAGAACGCGACGCATGGCAACGGACGCTGACGTGGTCCCATGCGGGCGATCCGCGTGCTCGCGAATGAAAGATTCAGTTTAGTTCCCGCACGCACGGACGACCCAGATGCATTTCCTGTCCAAACGCAATCGGATGGTCCGCGATCAATGATACAGATCCACT